TCCTCCAGAGCCCATTACATAGACAGATCGGCCCCTGAGATAATTACGAGACGATAGTCTAATGGGCTCGATTAAGGAAATCCCATTACCTCCTTGAAGGTTCACCAGGGAGGGGAGAACCCAGGCAAGTCTCCCCCAACAAAAACTGCTATTTCTTACCTAGACACACAGAAACAGCATTCTGTCTACCTGCTTATATTTGGAAGCTAGGCTATTGATCTGCCAAAATAGAATTGTTGAACAAGAATATTTTAGTCCACTATTCAAAAGAATTTAGGATGACATACAAAGGTGTATCAAATATGATAGGCTACAATAAATTAAAAGGTGACCCCAAATCGGGGTCTCTCCGTCCTGGAGGTACTTTCCCGCACGGGCAGGGCCGGCAGCTCTCGGAAGCCTGCGAGGTGACAGCCGGCCAGCTGGCCTCACACCCTGGAACCTGCTCACTGCCTCCTGAAGAGGCGGCCCCAGGGGCAGTGCTGGTCACCCCGGCGATGATTCCAGCCTGGCCTCACGACCTGTGAGTGGGGGAAAATACTGGGGTGTCTGAGGGAAGGTGAAAGAAGTCACTTTCACTAAATCACTCCACGAATGTTATGAGGCTGTGTCGGGCTCTCCTCTGCCCCATGTCCTCTTCGTAAGTCACGTGCATATATGGAGAAGAAAGCCTGCCTGTTAGCCTTGAACCTTCCTTGCTGTGAGCTATCCTGATAGGTCAGGTGTTTTCAGACTATCTCTGGTGAGCAAAAGATTCACCTGTGAAGTTGGTAAAATTGCAGATTCCCAGGTCCCATTCTTAAAGTGTCTGAGTCCTGTGGCACTGGGGCTGAGCCCTGGAATCTGCATTTTAATGTGTTCCTTTGGTGATTTCGAGCTTCACAGTCCATGAAACATCATTTGAGAAGTGCTGTGCTCTCCTGTGGTCTTCTTTCTTTTAGAACACTAATTTTTGCACTTTTATCCTACCATTGTTTCTTCAAAATGGAATTTTTCCCAGGTGCCTAGCCTATAAAAGCAAAACATGGCCCTTATTTTTAAAGAACTGGACACTATGTAAAAACCGTCAATCTTCCAACCATTGAGACAGAATTATATAAATATTTCAATGGATATCCATCAGGAGCTCCCGTGTGTATGTGTGTGTTTAATCTCTATCATTTAAGAATAATCTAAGTTTGTAGACCCAAATTCATGAAAGGGAAAGAGAGGGAGGTGGCTCCCACAAGCTCCTTTTATTTCAGTAATAACAGCCAAATAACCTTTCCGTTTTTGGGGTTCTGTGACCCCCAGGGCCCTTGACTCACAAGGCCTCCTCCACTGGTGATCTGAGAGCTCTGTATTGGTCTGCTCTGCTTAGAGCACTTTCCTTTAAGGACTAGACAGCTAGTGATTGCCGACTCAGGGGACACGAGGGGAATCACTGCCCCAGCTCCAAGGTTCCCTCCCCTCCTCTCGCAGCCGCCATCACGTCCCCAGAGCTCTCTGACCGCCTCTCCGTCTCCTTCGGGGCGAAATCCACAGCTGCCTGTTCACTTTGCCATCTTTGGTGTGACCTGTCCTTGAGCGTCTCGCCTCTGAGAGGTCTTGCCTAGCTGCACAGGACTCCAAAACAACATTTTCCAAAGATCCCCATTTATGCAGCACTTTGTAATTACTGTGAGATCTCAGACCCTTTTGTGAATCTAGTGAAAGTGACCCCTCATTCATGAAAAATTGCGCATATCTATGCCTAAATGTTTGCATGTAATTTCAGGAGGTTCAAGGAATCTGAGTTAAGGACTCCTCTGGTAATACATCATCAGCAGACCGAATCTGCTCACATCTACCAAGGATTCCCACACACATCACTCATGAAAATATGTGATGAGCATCAGTTAACTAGTGGACACTGCACTGGGGCACTGGAGACGCAGGGACGTGAGACTGGAGCTCTGTCTTAAAGCTGCCAGTATGGGGACACAGGTGCTCAGGAAAGAGGGGCCGTAGTGTGTGAGAAGCACCGTGATGGGACCACAGCAAGAGCCACACTGCAGTGTTCTTAGAGCACGATTCTCACTTCTCCCCTTCAAACCTTTGATGAGTCCTCTTCCTGTCATCCCTGAATAGCTTCACCATGAACCTCAAACTCGCTTCTCCTGCACCATCTGCACATGCCTCGTTCTTTTGCCCAGGCTTGGCACTTCGTGCCCTTATCATATTAAAGATTCTGTTGGTCCACAGTGTGCCCTGCTCTGTGGGTCCTCTTACAAGCCATGCCCTCTCCCTGGTATACTTCCCACCCCCGCCTTTCACCCTTTGTCAGGCTAACTTTCATTTGTCCTTTACCGCTGGATTGGGGTTGCTTTCTCCAGGGAGCTTCCCCTGATTTCTCCAGGTTCGAGTCGGATGCCCTGCTGTCACAGAGCACTCTGCACTTAGCCTTAGCTTGGCGTCTGTCACAGTGCATCACGGCAGCCTCCTGAGATGTCTGTGTTCCTCACTGAACAGCGATACCCTCAAGGGCTGGGGCTCTCGTGCTCACAGCCATAGCCATACTAGCTAATGCATAATGATCAATACTGGAATTAATTTACTAATTACTCAGTTTAATAGAAAGTCCTCAATAGAATTAGTTCTAAGACTTTTTAGTGTGAGTCAGGACGGAAAGCCCTCTCACATCCACGTTCTCTGGGAAGTGCAGTCTGTCATTAGAGCATTCACAACAGCTGACTCAGATGTCCTTTGCCTATAAACAATCTGGCTCTGTTTGTTGGAGAAGCAGGCGCAGCCGAGGCCGGCTAATTAAGAGGTGTTCACCTGTCATTTGCTCGGCACTCTGTAAAATGCTGCAGGGAGTAAGGATGTATGAGCTTCCTCCTTCAAGGGCCTGTTGTTGGGAACACAAGAGGTCCCCAGGTGGAATCTAGACAGTATAAAATTTACTGCCAAATTATGTAGCACAGACTATAAGGTGACATTTATACAGTCACTTCCAGCTCAGTCTTTCTATAAATCTAAGGTTTTTGATACCTCTTCACTGTATTAAATGCTCCTGTAGCATGATTTCCAAACCAGATCATGGGTGGGGATCGTGTGTTGATGACCTTAGCACCTCCAAGGTCAGGTGCAAATCCCTGGTCTGAGTAGGTGTCTAACAACTATTTGTTAGAACAAATACAGTCCAAGCAGAAGAAAATACCAGTAAATATAACTATAACCCCTGGATGAAGCAGTTCCCACCTGTAAATTGTTTGACTGGGAGGTAAGGCCTGTGCATTTAACGAGCATTGGAGAATCACTGAGCATTGCATTAGGGGCCACGACAAACCCACAGAATGAATGTGGCATCGAAGAAAGAGTACAAGCTTCAGAATCAGGCACGCCTGATTCTAGTGCAAGCTCTTGCAGGCTTGCTACGCAACCTTGCATCCAGTCCATAGATGTTTGTTGAATCATGTTCTAAGCAAGGCAACATGCCCAATGCTGAAGCGATAACATTAAATATTCCCCACAATCTTGGAGCCTCCACTCACTTTCCTGAGTTCCTTCACCTATAATGTGGGGCCAACAATATTTTCTTGCAGAGCTGCTGGGAGGATTAAGTGTGATTGTATGAAAATGCTCAGTATAGTCGTACTAGACACTCAATAAACCCCACTAGAAAGCGTAATTCCTAAAATTTAGTCAGGACAAGTCAATGAAAATTCATGATGTGGCTAGAGCTCACTGACACGGCGGCCACACTAGCTGCTCAGCACTGGAAATGTGGCTTATCCAAACTGAGATACGCTGTAAGTGTAACAGACACACCAGGTTTTGAAGACTTAGTGTGAAAAAAGACAAAAATAACTCACTAGTTTTTTTTTCATTCATCCCATGTAGAAATCGCATTTTCAATAAATTGGGTTAAATAAATACATTATCAGTTTACCCTTTTGCTGCTTTAATGTTGCTGCTCAAAATTTTAAAAATTTTATGTGGCTTTCGTGACTTCTATTAGGTGGTTCTGGGCTCGACAATTAAAAGTAAGTTATTGATTCTAAAAGGAACCAATTGAAGATGCCAAACGTGGCCCAGAGGTGTGTCCCCCAGGGCTGCGGCAGGGCAGGGGTGAAAACGCAGCGCTGCAACCCCGATTTCGTGCTCTCGCGGTGGTTGGCAGGCATTGCCCAGTTGCACCAGAGCCAGAATGTTCCGATTTGCCTTAGTTCAGATGCCACTTGTGAAGTGCATCTATGTACGTATCTAGGAAAGGGGGTGGTGCCAGGGTGGAGAGAAGCTGGCAGAAATGTCCTCACTTCTCATGAAGGCTGCTCCGACCTCCTCATCTGGAAGCAGTGTGAAAGCAGCTGGCCTTTAGACGGATGGGTTTGGATGTCGGCACCACTCCTTCCCGCATCATCTTGGGCAAGTCATCTAATATCTCTGAGCCTCAGTTGCCTCATTTATGAAATGCTGAGGATCAGAGTGACTGTGTAAGTCTGCTCAGGCTCCCTTAGCAAGGTGCTGCTGATTCATTTCCCCAGTGAGGACTTTTCCTGGCTCGCAGGAACTCTCTCTTCCCTGCGTCCTCACAGAGCAGAGAGGATGTCAGGATGCAAGCTTTCTGGGGTCTCCTCGTCTTATAAGGGCACTAATCCTATCATGAGGGTCCCCCCCCTCATGACCTCATCTAAACTTCATCACCTGCTAAAGGCTCTATGCCAAATGCCATCTCATTGTAGGGTAGGGTCTCAATATATGAATTTGGGGCAGGGACACACAAACCTTCAGCCAATAAAGGAACTATATTGTTGGGAGGATTGCAGGATGGAAGGAGCTAATGAGTGCAAAGAACATGGTACAGTGTGAATGCTCAGCTGTTAACATTGTTGCCATCGTGTCTGTTTCGTGTAATGAGGTATCTTCAGCTCTGGAGCAATGCCTGGTGCACATTTGGAGTTCAGTAAACATTTGTTGAGTGAATGAAGTAATTCATCATCATCAAATCAGTCGGTGACTAATGATTCCAGTGTGTGAAATTCCTGTGTTGTCAGGTAGGGTGCTGCCTCCGTGGCTCCCTAGGCCATGTCTCTGAACATGGTCCGCGTCCTGGAGCACTGGGAACGGGCTGTTCTGGTGGCCGAGTCGCCTCTTGCTTCGACATCAGCGTCTCCCGAGCTGACCCCACCCTCAGGCCTCTCCTTAGCCGCCCAGCAGGGCCCGTGGTTTTATGTGTCCGTGATCCTGCCCATTTTTCCTTTATATCCAACCATGAGACTTTTTTCCCCGATCCAATTTAATAGTATAAAACCTGCTCTGATTTAGAATCTTTTCTGCAGCTAATCGAACCTGCGGCATTCTATTAGCTCTGTGTGTTTGCTCTAAGCCCGAGCTGAGGCATCTGGGATTATTATGTAATAACTTAGACTCATTTCTGGTCGGTCTCTACCACCCCTTTTCATTCTGCGAACACCCCCAGGGGGCCCTTTCTGTTTGCCAGGAGTGAGAGAAGGGGTTTAGAAGGGCTGCGGCTGGGGAGTGGGGGTGGGGTGGGGTGTTTGCCGTGAGTTATTATCCCACACTTACCAGTATTAAACTGGATTTGACAACTCATAGCGCAGGATTTAAACGATCTAAATCCTTCATTTGGCAGCTTGATTTTCCCCGTTATTTATTGTGCTGCCCAATTTATTATTACCGGCGCACTCCGAGGCTTGGCCCGTGATGCCTCCACAGTCAAGTGATTTATACAAATGACACGAAAGATGGGGGTTCCCAGCAGTGAGCTCCAAAGCCGTGCCCCCTTTCCCGTGCCTCTCATCTGGCTCACTTCATCGCCAACACATTAACCCTGGACCCTCTTACTCCGTCCCCGAGGAAATTCATCCTCAGCTTCCGTCGGGACCTGGGAGGGACACGCCGTTGGCAGGGGAGGGGAGGGCGAAGGAGCGAGGCTTCCAGTGACGGGTCTCAGGTCTTCATACAGGAGGCGGCGTGCAAACCCTCTGCATACACCGTAGGGTTTCTGCTGTCACACAGCCCTTTGAGGTAGACACTGATTTTTATCCCACTGGACAGCTGAGGAAACCGAGACACGTTGCATCTCAGCCTCCCTAGGACAGGCAGAGTGGGAGAAAGAAGGACCAGGGCTTGGGAAAGTTGGCCACAGGAGTGGAGGGAATACCGGTGCCAGAAGTGCGATGCAGCAGTGAAGACATGAGCTTTGCGATCAAACCAACCAGGAGGTGAATTTCAGCTCCCTGGCCTATTAGTGGGGGGCTGTGAGCAAGTGACCATTCAGCGCCTCAGTCTCCTCATCTGGAAGTGGTAATAGTAGAGTATCTACATATGAAATCATGAGGACTGAATGAGAAAATGCAGGTCATTTCATACACTTCTTCATCTGCAAAAAGAGAATAATGATAGTGCCTAATTCATTTTGTCTTCACAACAGCCCTAGGAGGCAATATGCATAAGGCGCTTCAAACAGGTCGCTCCTGAATGCCATTGAGGGTCCGCTGCACTCACTGCCACTGCTGCTACTGTTACTGTCATGATTCAAGCTAAAGTCCAGCACAGAACACTGATACTGTCCAGCCCATACATTGCAAAGACTCTGAGGGAGGGTCCTCATGATTCAGAGGACCTCAGAGACTTCCGCCATGATGCTGTTTATGGCTTATTCCATTGTGAGAAAAACGACTGCGTCCTCTCCTTTCCCGGCCCCACATCTGCCCATGCCCTTTCTGACGGGATGCCCACTGTAGGCTTGCCTGAGTGTGGTTTGGTGTGTACGGCCCCAGCTTCGAAAGAAGAGCCATCCTCAGGCACCCAGCACCCTGTCCTCTTACGGCCTCGAGTCTTATTTCCTTAGTGAGTGTGCTTTTACTAGGCCATATGTGGTTCTTGCTGGAAACCAAATGTGGGTGGGAAGGCTCTAAAGATTGGAGTCCTGTATTTAAAATATGGGGCAAGGGTAGCTTTGTTGGGAGCACCTGCTGCCCTGAAACTAGACAGACACCCCTTCCCCAATTTCATACCTTGGAAAAATATTTCTGTGGACATTGACCTCAAGTAACCTTTACCAATAACATAAATGCCTTTTTTTTTTCCTTACCACTGAGACCTGTACTTTGGAAATAGAATAAATTGTATTTCATGTTCCCATATCACTTGCACTGAAAACGCTACTTACATGTTTATAGTTGGATGTGAGTCCCTAGATGGCGAGAGGGCACCCCCACCGATCTCCTTTCGTGCAGGAAGTAGTGCCAGGATTTCACAGCGGCGCAGGGGTCCAAATTTGGCCGTGTCTCTCATTTCCCACATCTAGAGCCAAGAGTAACATGGAAGATTTCAAAATAATTTTGCCCTGTGTGTTTATCAGTAGTTGATAGGCCAGGGATGACACTGTCACCAGTACAACTCTCCTTTGCTGAAGCAGTGCTAGCAGAAAATGGGCTGAGAATCAGTCTTCTTAGCTAACTCTGGGGCCTTGAGCAAGTTGTTTACCTCCCCAAGCCCTGAGTTCTCCAGCTGTACACCCTGCAGGAGTAGAGAGAGTCTCGCAGTGCTGCCTGAGGGTTGAATGCAAGGATGCATTCAGTCTTTGTAGCCTGTTGCTGAGCCCTCAAATCTCTTGTATCGGTTTGCATATTCCGGAACATCTCACCTTCAGTGAATTTTACTGATGTTGTCTTTGTTGGTGATTATAGTGTGACAGTGATGGTCTTGTTAGTGCTATTATTATTCATGGCAATAATAATACACTTTACCTTTATTGTTTTAGAAAACCTTTCGTATTTCCCGTTGTATTTCTGCAGGTTTGTCCTTTATTCCTAATCTCAAGGCCATGATCACTGTGAAGTCCCAAATCATGTCTATTTCTGTCTGCCCACCCTCTCCATCCACTGTCACTCAATTCCCACTCACTCTGCAGAGAAACAGGAGATGCTATGCGTTTGGAGCTGAGAAAGCAGTTAGAATGTTCCGTTTAACAATGCTGTAGCACTTGTGTGAAGGCGGGCTTTGCAAACATTTTTATGGGTGTATGTTTGTTAGAAATTCTTTTTTCTCTTGCGGTCAAGAAGGCATTATTGAAATTCTGCTGCTCCGGCTCAGCCCAGCACTGAGTGGCTTACCCCTGACCTTTCACCATCACTGAGAAGCAGAAAAAATGAGTGATGATTCCAGCGGCCTCCTTTGCTCTCCGGGTAATGAGTGAGTCAGCATCAGGGACTTTGCCAGGAGGCCTGAGTCATAAATATCCCTGCCATCCATCAAAAATCTCCCCAAAAGGTTGTTTTTAAACAGTGAGTGATGAAAGAGTCCTTGGACCTTACCCTAGTCATCAAGTCGGTGGGCGATATGTATGGCTCTAACTGTGGAGGCTATAGCCAGCAACGTAGGTAAGAGAAAGTCGTCTGAACCTATTGTGAGATGAGAAACTCCTCATAGAAGAAAGAAAGGCAAAAAGCATTTTAATGAGCTTACCCACTCTGCCCCTGAAGCCTTGTCAGTCACGTCGCATTGTTTCCCTGTCTTTCTACCCTTTATTACGGACTTAGCAGACATCGGGCCTGGTGCCAGCTCCTTTATTTGCACCATCTCACTGAGTCCTCACAGCAGCCTTATAAAAGAGGAAAGATTCTTCCCTGTTTACAGAGGAGGATATTGGGAGTGAGGGTGACGGACTCTCCCAGGATCCTGCAGCTAATCTGTGGCAGGACTGTGCTTTACCCCAGGTCCTTCTGACTTCAAAGCCTGAGCTCTTAATTACTCCATTATCTCTGTGAAGCCAGGAAACATGAAGAGGGAGAGGAGAGGAATGTACGGACACCCAAGCGGGCCTTCTGTTTGCTATATAACGCGCTAATGATTATTTAACAACAGATTAAAGCATCGTATAGTTAAAGTCTGGCAAAATAATTTTCATTTTCTGCCCAGTACTACAAAAAGAGGACCCCTAAACAGACACTGGAGGCCTCTGTCGAAGCTCCAGCAGCTGACCGTGTTCCTGGGGAAGCCCCAAGCATCAGGGACCCAGCCGCACTGCGGGTTTTGCAGACCTTTGAAATGCCGGTGATTTTGCAATAATTGCATATACCTGAAAAGGCCCCATTTTCACCTCCATCCGTTCCAGCTTACTTGGAAGGCAGTCTGCCTTCAGGGATGCTTCTGTGATGTGTACAATATTTTATTTATGAGATTAGCAAAATATGATTGTTGGATCCGCTAATAAAGAGGCGCTTGGAACAGGAGCCAGCTGGCTCGGCACACGCAGTCCCGGCAGGAGGACACACCTGATCCGTGTGTTTCTCTCCACACTCACACCTTGCAGGCGCCCAGAGCTTTCCCCGCCCCCTTCCCACCGAGTACCTCAAAGACCTCATCAGCGTCCTCTGAAACTGCCGAGTGTATCTCTGCCTACGTTTTCTGCTCAGACGCCCTATGTCTATTCAGGCTGTTCCTCCTAATGACACAAGGATAATCTTACCCAGAGGTTGAAGTGTTACCATGTTCAGACGGAAAAGTCAGGAGAGTGATGTGTTAGCCAGCAGGCCCTGAAGCCCAGCGGACCACGGGGACAGTCAAGTCCAGGATCCTGGGTGTGCAAAGAGCATGGCCTCTGAGCCCCGTTCCCTCCCTGGGAGGAAACAGACACACTTACTTGAGGTTTCACTGCGTAGTAGTTCTGACCCTCATCACTGAATACAGAAGGAGGATCTCACTTTGAGGTACTCCGTTTGTAGGCGTCACACAGCAGGCTGTAGGTAAATGCTGGAGATGGAACCTTTATTTTCCTCCCTAATTCTGAGCTCTAAGAAAGAACATTCATGAAATCAATGCCTCCCTCTTTCCTGTTTTGCTTTCCTTTTGGGGGGAAGTCCTTGCATTTTCTTAAGTGAGTTTTTGTGATTTTTCAAATTACACATGCTCATTACATAGGACTGAGGAAAAGAATTATCTCAGTGAAGCAAAAGTAAAATTTGAAGCCTCATAATCCCACCCTTGAAGCCTTAATATACTTCCTTCCTGTTCTATTTTTGTTTTACTGCATATGCCGAAGATAGCTGAGGGCACCCACACTCTCTGGGTTGGAGGGAAGCGTCTGTGAGCTGACACATGGAGACCTTGCTCTCACAACTGTCTTCTGTGGATTGCAATTCCATATACAGCTCGTGAATTTTGAATTTCCTGTGTAGCGGTTTAGAAAATGACTTCGCAAACAATCCCTCTGTCGAACCGCCTCAGAACTGGCGTGTGTCAGTGCTACAGGAGAAAAGCTAACAGTCCTCCCACTGTCAGTCCCTAGTGGAAATGCCTCTGAGCCGCAGGCAGACCTGCTGTGGTCTATGTCACAGTGAAGGGGATGCAAAGTCGCTCTGTTCAAACGTCGCCTTAGCCGCAGGCCGAGGTTTCCTTTCGGAATCTGGAGTTTATGTGGTTCTCTCTGCGTCCTGAGGATTGCCCGGAATTAGGAACATAACGGGCCTGGGGTAGTTTACACAGCCAAGGAGACTCCAGGAGATGCTCTGTGTTCTCGGATGGTGTCCAGGTCGCATGAACTTCAGATGCAGGGCTGCACGCTGGTCGGGATGCTGACTCGAGGACCGGACGGCACAGGTCTGGACCTCGACTCCTGCTGCTGTTGCTTTGGGGTGTCAGGTGAACCCCCTAGCCTTTCTAAGCCTCCGTCACTTTCTGTGTTAATGAAAATAAAGCACCAGCCTGCAGATTTGTTGTGAGGATCAAGTGAGTTTATGCATATATGGTGCTTCAAAGAGTAACATGTTCGGTAAATACTAGTTGTTGGAGTTACACTAACAACACTATGGGTTGTTAATAATCTGGGGTGTCTGTACTCAGCTACACTGCCTTCCTCATGATCCTCAAAGAACCCCTCCTAGGGCAAAAATTCTTGTGCTCAATTTTTGATTAGTGCCTTGTTTGATAGAGATGTTTAATACTCCATCCTTGGCTAGAAGTGGCTAACAGTTCAGTTTCCTAGCAGTTACTGGTACCTGGAATGACCTGACTCCAGGCTGTGCAGGGCGGGTGTGTCATAGTAGAGAAGGAGGCTTCGCTGGAGCCCTCACCTCCCCACCAGCCCCCAGTCTTCCTTATAGCCTCTGATTGCCCCCGGATAGGGAAGGAGAGATTGTGGAAACCAGTACCTGTTGCTAAGATTTATTTCTTTCTTATTTACACGATTCCCCCTCCGTCCAGCATTTTGGCCCATCGAGGTTTTACAAGGGAGGCCTCCGTGCCTCCAGGCTCCCCCCGTCTAGGGGTCTTGTTTTTGTTTCTGCTGTGGGTGGTGCTGGGCACAGATCGCAAAAGCGAACAGGAAAGACACAACCCCCGGCCGTTTTAGGGTCTCGCGGGGAAGATGTCCAAGTGGACGGCAGGTCTTAGTGTGATGAATTCTGTCAGGAAATTCCCAGTGACCTGGGAGTCTCAGGAGAATCGCCTAACCATGTTGAGTAGTAAGGGGCCACTTAGTTAACTTTAGGAGAAAGCAACACTCTCCTTAATAAAATATAGAATAGGGATGGTGTTGTGGGATGGAAGATTTCCTTGTTCTATATGATCTTATATCTTCTGTGCCAAAAGAGGACAGTACATTAAAAATGAAGTTATTTCTTGTAACTCAGTATTTTATGGTCAACTTATACCACCTTCAGCATATGGAGGAATTGAGATCATTTCCTCCCAAGATAGACTTTCTAGCATTTAGATGCACGCATGCATGTCCTAGCCTCCAGACACCTGCAACCTCTTCCCTACGGCTGGTTGTTTTTTTCTCTGAAATGGTCCTTTTTTTCCTCTTTCTGACAGTGTAGTGGCGGAAGGATATATTTTCTTCATGCTGCTTTCACTTTCCATTCTCCTGATAAAACTCTCTCACTGCAGAGGAAATCAAATCTAATCTTCAATATATTTAGCATGAAAAGCAATAAAGAGCATTCATTCACTCCAGAAAGAGCAAAATACAGTCGGGTACTCAAAGGCAGAATCGCCAGGGGAACTGTTTCCTCGAGGTTCTGCCTTCTCCAGGCAGGGCCAAACGAAGAAAGGACGGCAAAGCGAAGAGAAATATACCCTGTCCTTTCTGTTGTCACTAAAATGTTGCAGAGGAATTGCCATGAATTATTGATGGCGTGAATAGGAGTATATATGAATCAGAATTATTAAACTGTTGTCTTTTAAACGAGCGTGTAGGAACACGCTGAGAACTTGTTCCACAGTATTCTCCTTTGCAGGCTGTCAAAATTCTATTGAGCAATCAAAGACCTATCCTAAGGTCAAAAGTTTGCACAGAAGCGCTGGGAATTATATTGATTAAAGAATTATGTGCACTAGAACTAAAGCAGAGAGCTTTTGTGTGTAACTCCCAGATACACTTGCCTTTGTGCACCATTTCAGGATGGTTATTGTTTCAGAATTCTTTCAAAGATATTGAATATGTGAAGATGAGAGGCCTGCCCTTGCCTCTGGGACTGTGTTAATGGGACATGATGGAATTTCCCTAAGGAATCTCATATGGATTAAATTCCCTCCGCGTTTATGTGCACACGTGTGTATCTCAGTACGCTCACTCTTCTTTCTTTCTATGGTTTTACCAGCTCACAGGTTTTGCATACTGGAACTGCACATCTCTATTTAATAGCTCAGAAAATAATATCGACCGGGTGTTAAATGTTTCCTGTGCGCCAGTCACTGTGCTAGATCCTTTGCATGATATTAAGAATGTGGACTTTTTTTTTGGATATGATTGTATTTTATTTAGCAAAATGGATAATTTTTGATAAGTGTTTGCTAGTAAGTAATGCTCTTATGCCATCCTCATAACAGCCCAGTGAGGAAACTAGTTTTGGTGATAACAGCTGACTGCATTGGACCACGGAGGCGCTGAGTCGCAGGACCTGGATTTGAAACTGCATGAATACTAAGTCCATGGTCTTGACCACATCAAGTCTTCGTCCTCCAGGTTACAGACAACCTGTCTTTTTAATCTCTCTACAAGCCCATAGCTGCCAAGGGCCTGGGCACATGGGTAGGCCCTCATCATATTCATAGCATATATATTCAGGAACTACCATTGTACCAGGCACTCTACTAAATACAAACGTTGAAAGATAAAGGTTCTGTCTTCAAGGAGCTTACAGCAGCTTTCAGGACATGTCGGCACGAGTGAATGAACCAGACAAAGTAATCAAGGGTTCTGAGAAAAGAGAAGGCAGTGGGGTTTGTGGAGGAGGAAGTCGTCCTGGTCCTCCAAGAATGGCAGGAGCTCCCAAACGGCACAGGGGAGAGGAGCAGTGAACATCGAGGTAAGACAGCATGACTCCAGGCACACAGGCAGGGCTGAGCGAGAGGAGTCCGCGGGCATGTGAGGTCCGGGCGTGCGCTGCGGCACACGAGTGTGAGCAAGTAAGCCGGTGAGTCGCCCAGCAGTGAAGGACCTTGAACTCGGCGGTGGGGGTGGGGGTAGTACAAGGAGGGCCACATCTTAGCAACAGGGTCTGTTTATTTATACTCAAGTGCTTACTACTTAGAGCGAATTTCTATTCACTCTTAGGGCATTATTTTCTCATGTTCAGCTCGATGATTTTTGCATGTGAGCACACCCATGTCACAAGATCAAGGCATGGGACACCTTCAGGACCCCACGCCCCCCTCTGCTAACTCCCCCCAACCCCCTGAGATGATCACCATTCTGACTTCCATGTGAGGCTCAAAAGGAAGTGATAAAAAGGCAGATGACATGATGAAAGGTTACAGGGACGTTGAATGACTTCTGGGATGCAGCATGAAGTGTGGGGGTGAAAGATTTCAAACAGGGACACCGGCCAGGGGGCTGTTACAAGGCTCTCAATGCCTCCATCCTGCCATTCAGTTAAATACACATTGGACGCTGATTATGTACCAGACCCACAGGTTGGGGATACAATAGTAACTGGTATACGCTCTCCCAAGGAGGCGACCGAGGATAGATGAGCAGTTACTTTACACAGCAGCTAAGTGCTGAAATAGGTGGAAACAGGTTGCACTTAAAATGGGTGCCTAAGCCAGAATAGTAAAGTCACGGAGGGCTTCCTGGAGGAAGAGATGTCCACCCTGAGACTTGAGAATGAACAGGGCCTAGCCAGACCAAGGGGGAAATTGGAATGGAAAGGTTCCAAGCCGAGGGGGAACATGTACAAAGGTCCAAAGACGACGGACGGTATGGCTGCGTGGAGGCAGAAGCTCGGTCAAGAGAAGACTGGAAGAAAGCAAGAGAAATGGCCAAACTCAGTAGAGGGTATTATAGGACAGGGACCATGTCAAACTGGGGTTTTCCTGCAACCTGATTGTACCACAGCCTGCATCCAAAAAGTTTCAGATGCTCAACCTGCCGGGCTTTTTCATTATTGTTTTGATTGTGAGCAGCCCACCTGGTTGTCAGTCATTTCTCTTTGAACTTGAGCCAGAAAAACCAGTCAGGCAACAAGACTCCCAGCATCTTTGACCTACCTCTTTCAGATGAAGATACTTCCTTATTTTTGTACCTTCCTTATCTCCTCCTTTCGAGAGTGTTCTGGGCCAGGCCAAGCAGCCGGGCCACTCTTCTCTTCTGACTTGTCCGGCAGGTTTCCTGGGGCAGCTCTGAGAAAGCTACTGAGTTCACGCCACCCCTTTTTCAGCAGAAAGCAGCCTTTGTAGCCCTGTACCCCTGAGTCAAGCCTTGTCTCTGTTGCTAAGCCTCCTTGTGACCTCAGTAAGTCAATGTTTCTGGACTTTAGCTTCCTTGTCTGGGAATAACAGGACCTACTAAATAAGCTGTGAATGATTAAAGCGCAGTGCAGGAAATTCCCCAGGAGGCTGCCAGACACACAGCCAGCCTTCCAGAGGTAGTAAAGCAGAGTGGTTAAGGGCAGAGGCTCTCCAGCCTACCGCTTGTGTCGGGAGGTCCTGCCGAAGGTTAGGTGGGTTACTCCAGGCAGGTCGCACGGGCTCCCAGCGCCTCGGTATTCTCGTCTGTGACGTGGGGGTGACGACAGGACAGAACACATGCCTTGGGGTTTTACCATGAGGGTTAAATGAGTTGGCACATGTAGGGTGCTGAGTATAGAGTCTGGTGTGTGTATGTTTATATCCTTTGTTAGTCAGTACTGCTCCTGTTGACACGAATAATTCCTGTGATTTTTGTAGAGCGCTCAGTCGTATCCATGAGAACGGAACACCAGTGTTTGCCTTGTAGAGTGGTTGCCAAGAGCAGCTAATGAGGAGGTGCACGTGGCTCCGTGCCAGGCACACAGTGGGCCCCCGATAATGTTTGCTGAACAAGTCAGAGCAAAGTGCTTCTAAATGTTTCCTATAAATGTTTCATCTTAATGATCAGCGGGAGCTTCCATGCAGAAGAAAGTGCCAGCGAAGTTCGCGGGGTAGCAGCCTGGGCTCGGGCCTGGTGGATTCTGATTATGAACAGAATAGGCTCAGATCAGTCTATTCGGTGCCACTGAAACTGTGCCAGTGAGCAGCAAAATGCAGGTTCCTGTTGGGGGAGTGCCAGGATCCAGATCTGCAAACCCCAGCAAACCCTACCTATTCGTAGCACGCTCTCTCTCCCCCTGATGGGCGCATCTTACCTCGGAAGGAGCTTCTCAGTGTTTCACAAAATCAGGCCCCAGATGTTTGAAAGACTTTCACAGACAAGGTAATCAATCCATTTGGTGACCAGATGCTGTCTGAAAATTTTCCTACTACAGCGCTGTGAGTTTCTAAATGCATCAGAAACATACATTAATTAAATCTAATCAACAGTGGGTGATGCAGAAGATTAAACAGTGAAAAACAAATGCATTTCCAACTGGATCATATGAGACACAGAGAAACACACCCCACGTTGGAGGTGAAAGTCAAGTGAACCCTTCATGCGATGGTCTCGGAAAACCTTTGCTGAATCTGAGGCTCCGGGTGAGGCTGTAGTTCTCCCCAAGTAGGGCTTCCCTAGTGGGATCATTGATTTTTCAAGGAATAAATTCTGTGTTTCTCTGACGAAGAAGGGTTTTCAAGTGGTCTTATTTTGTTATGTATTAAAAGAGGAAAAAATCTCCACCATTCCCTTTTCTTGAGGGCCTCAGGAGATAGGGTCTGTAAGGAGCCAGGTACTATGCATAAAACAGAATTTCTTAGTAGCATTATATAGTCAGATAAATTTGGAAACAGAGTGAAGCATCCTTCTTTTTACCTCACTCTAGAAGAAGTTACCCAAGTTCAGGGTTCTTGCCTGTTGAGGCTGAATCCCCAACACCTAGAACAGAGTCTGGCGCATAGTAGGTCCTCCATGCATAGCTGTCAAATGAATGAACTGTGGATGAACTTCCTACAGGATTTCTGTTCACTTTGCCCAAATGAGTCCCTAATAGGGGAGATAATGTTTGAGTTGTTTCCCAGAAGTTGTTTTGGCTTCTCCCACCCAAGGAACAGAATCTGGAGAGACTGATAACCCGTAGGACGTATTTTAGAGAAGTTGGCTCTAATGCATTATTGTATAGCACCCCTGTTCTTTGCCCCATTTCCTCTATCCTCACTCTAAATGGAACTGGAGAAGATGCAGGGTTAGTAAGTCATGAATTTGGGGGGCCAACTTGTGAGTGGGAGACTGTCCTCCAAGGTCGTGCTCAACTCGGTGGAGAGGCCAGCCTGTGGCTGTGGGCCTGACACATTGCCAGTGCAAATGGCCTGAGCCTGAGGGTAAAGGGCTTGCTTCCTCACATGCAGCCCTGTAGAGGTTCCAGTTTGCAGAGGATACCAGTTCACAGTCGAGACCAGCAGCTGACTCAGATGCCTACAAGAGGCTATTATGCAACATCAAAGAGGAAAGCAGAGGAGAAGAGAACCTCAGGAGAATACGTGGGGCTGACATTTGGCCTCAAGATTGGGGGCATCCTAAGGAGTGGTAGGAGATGAGGTGAACTCAAGACTTTGTGCCCTTCTCATGGGGGCGGCCACTTCCCAGCCCAAGCAGGCGTGACCACATGGAATGGCCACCCAGTGATGCCAATCTTTTAATTTTTCTAAAAGAACTGAAAATCTGGATTTTTTTAATATGAAACTTCACAATTTTTAAATGTTGGCGACTCATTCAAAAAGTTGGAAAACTGTGTGTGGGCTCACACTGCAACGCCAATTCCAATTCTGCAGGTCAGATATGACCACCCGCTGCAACTGGTGTGCGCTGGGCTATTCGGTCCTGTAACACGGAGCTGCGGAGCCTTGCTCCGCCTTTCCTGGGATTCAGAGGAGTGACCCATTTGGGGAACAAATGACAGATTATCCTCTTTACTGAGTGCCTGCAATGGGCAGGCCTCATGCTAAGCTCCTTACCTTCTTTGTCTCATTTAATCCTCATAATGCCCCCTCCAAAGAAGTACCAATATTATTACTCTACAGAGAAGGAAACCGAGGTTCAGAGAAGGCAAGTAACTTGTCCAAAGACACATTGGTTACAGATGGCAGAACTGAATGGCATCTCTGTGATAGCTAAAGCAATGTTGTTGACCACTCACCCTGTCACTTCTGGGTAAAGTGCTATTATAGCACTTAACTTGGTATTTATGTGGTTTGCATAGATTTACTCATGTAATCTTCAGGATAATGTCATCCCCTTTTTACACATAGGTAACTGATGAGAGAAACACGTGAAGAAATATACCCAATGTTAGTCAGCTAATAAATGGGGAAGCTGGAACTTAAACTGGCAGTGGGAGACTGCTCTTGACTACCTCCTACAATTTTTCTCAAACCGGTGCCCTCGATCAGTCACATAGAAGGTACTCTGCAAATAGTTTTACATGGACGCCAAATCTCATCTTCAGCTGTGTACACTTGGGGAATCCTGGGCCTAAGGGTGTGGCTGGTGGCTCTGGGTGGCTGCTGCTTCAGCTGTTATTCTATCTGACTCACTGGCACCTGTCACTCAGTGAGTGACCCTTGGCTAATTCCAGGCATGCAGAGTAAAGACCGACAGGCTCAAGAAGCTAGCTCAGCCGTTAATGAACTGTCTGATCCAGAAGTGCCTTCTCAGCGATCGGGCAATCCAGTTCAGACTGTGTGTTTGACGGAAATAATTCACTAGGTCAGACTTCTTGGCATATAAAGACCTTCCCACCCGGTCTCTGGCATTCTACTGCCTTTCTTCCTGAAAAATGGAAAAGGTGGAGACTGGTTTAGACAAGGGCTAGAATGAACGAATCAGAAAGATGTGCATACATTTTACAATGCATGTGTTTTCATGTGTGGGATTAGCCAAGAAGAAGGAGGAGAATAAAGCAAAAGCAAATTTTAGGGAGAATAAAGCAGATTTCATTGGTTTTTAAATTTCTGTAATCGTATAGGTCTATTTTACCCAGTTTGAAAACCAAATGTGTGTGTGGTGTAAGAACAATATCAGAAAGAGGATATGAGCCCAGGTGATCAGGTAATAACTAGGAGGAGCTAGAAAACTAAACTTTCATTGAATATGGATTGTGTGGCAAACGTCAGGCTACAGGCCATGAATCTCAAGGTAAAGAAACCAGCTGTGATCCTTGCCCTGGTGAATTTCATAGTCTTATGGGCGAGACAGATATTAATAATAAACCCCAAACAAACATAATAATGAATTCTAAAAGATGCTTTAAATTGAAAGAAGAGGGTACTAGAAGGAGCAAAGTGGAGTGACTTTAGGATGGGCTGTCTGAAAAGGCCTCTCTCAGGAAGTGCTGTTGAAGCTGAAATTTTAGAAATTAACAGGTTCGCCCAGGAAAAGGGTGCAGCAGGCAGAAAATGCTTCAGGCAGAGAAAGAGCAGCATGTTTGCAGACCCCAGAGTGGGAAAAAACATGGCATTTATAAGACCCTGAAAGCAAACTGGTAGGGCTAGAATTTAGGGAGATAGGGGGTCAGGGAAAATGGTTCAAGACTGCGGTTTGAGAGGCAGGCCTGGGCCACTTCGCGGTTCCTTGGTGATGAATCACCCAAAGGCGGTGCTATGCTAAGGCTTCCTCAGAATGGCTTCTGGTACATTTCACTGTTGATTTAATTTCACTTGAAAAAGCAAGCGGTGTATCTGAGATCATAGCCAGTGTTGCCTATACATTTGGTGTTCAATGGTTTTATTCCTTCTATTGTCTGATAAAATATAGACATGTAATTTCCTCCCATGGACTTGACTGGAAACAATCAAATGCATCACAGTCAAAGCTAAGGACCTGCTACAGTGTGTGGGAGGGAGAAAGGAATTCTGCCATGAGTTAATACTTGCTGGCTTTTTCCTGCCCTGAGCTTCTCCATTCTCTCCAAGTGCAATGACTTCTGTTGTTGGAGTCAGCACTTGAGATGTCCCCAGAAGTAAGGGTCCTTGGAGACATGGGAATGTCGTCCTGTTTCCCCTCCCATCTGCTGTTCTCGGAGGCGGTGCTCTGAGCATGCGCGGGGTACTTGGTTTCCCTAGCGCTGCTTTTATTTCAGAGATGTCCCAGGCTATTTTAAAAAACAAAAATAGTGAGCTGTGGGCAAAAATGGAGTATGTGTGACTTTAACTTTAGGGGACAGCTGCCATATGCATTTCACAGGCCCACGATCAGTTGTCCTCGTGAGAGTCCTAAATCTCCCGGTGTGGGCCACTTACGTGGTCTGCGCCCGAGGTCCTGTATCCTGAGAAAGCCGTCTGTTAAAGCAATAAATGTGATTCTGTCTCCAGGGAGCTTCTCATCTCGTTAAGGAGACAACACATACAG